TGAGCTCTCCGCTATCTTGCTCCTTTGCATACCTACAGCTGCCCTTTTCTCCCACTACCACTCGTTACCAACCTTTGGCTTGTTCTTCGGCTACGCTTCTCCGCTTGATCCCAACCAGCAACCACTTGTCACCGATCTTTGGCCAGTTTACTGACTATGCTTCTGCTTGATTCCAACCTGCTCTATCTGCTACTGGACCCCAGCTTGCTCACCTCCTGGTGGGCCAATCCTGAGGACCATGACCTGGTACTTACACACAGCAAAAACCCATCTCCACCATCAGGAGCTCTGGTGAATACTAGTGCTTAGACCCCTCGGGTGAGACCAGGACTGCTGCTAGAAAGCCCCCAAACCACAGGACCCCATACAGCCAACCTAACAAGGCCCCCCATGCGCACAAAAAAAAAGCACAGTTTACTACGATTCAGTTATGAATGAACACAGTGAGTGATCAGTACCAGTCACTTATTGTGTTCATTCAGGAATGGAAGAGGCTGGTAAATTACTGGAACTGATCCCCTGTATGTTTCTCTTTGCAGCAGCTGAAAACCAGCTCTGGGCAGGGGCGGGGAGAGGAGAAGAACCCAACTTTCAGCTGCTGCAGAGAGAGCCATACATGGGATTGGTTCCAGTAATTGCCCCGTTAACCCTTCCTGCCCACATCCAATTCTCCCAGCTGCCTGGGCCCCCTTGCAAGCCTGGGCCCCGTACAGGAGCACTGGTGGTACCCCCTTATCCACGGCCCTGGGTGAGACAGCATCATCTGCCAAGGTGACCTTCCCGTGTACTTATCCTGCTGGTCTTTCTACTGCTACAGGCTGGGAGAGTCTGCTTTTGGTGTACTTGTCATTGGTTTTGTAGACTACATAGTGTTTTATATCACTGTAGTTAAGCTATGCTGTATAAAGGCTTCAGAAGCACGGTGTTGCACAGTAACAGCACTGCAGCACCACCACAGGTACACAACCATCTTGGACAATGAAAGATGGTTTCAAATTTTGCATGTAATAAATCATAGCTGGATTTTGAAGAGTGAAGCAAATAAGACACAGTCTTTAGATTAGATTAGCACATTTATCTCAAAACTACATTTTTCCAACTCAATAGATGTCCAGAGCAGCATTATAAAATTGTACCTTGAGATAAAAAAAAATTAAGCTCTATCAGTTTTTCACATCTTGTATATTTCACTTGGGGAGTTGCTTAGACAAAGCTGGAAATAGGACCTACTGGGCAAACTGTTTTGGATAAACAGGAGTGGTCAAAGTAGCGCTGTCTTTTCTTAGGAGGACCCGAAAGCAGTGCCAGAAGTAGCCATGTGCTCTGGGGTTCCTTGGCCAGATCATGAACATTTTTGGGCAAATCCTTCTCCTGGTAAGTAAATATGGAGACATTTTCATTCTGTGATCTAGAATCACCAGAACCACCACATCCTTCTTCTCATCCAGTAGTCTCTGATGGGACATTAAGAAGGCATGGCAGAGGACACCAGTACTAAATCCTGTACAATCAAGAATGAAGATTGTTCTCTTGCTTTTATATATGGCATCATATAAGTTCTCGATGCTCGATTTTCCAGCCAGCCAATCTCTGTCTTCCAGGCATAAGTTAAATCGCCCCATTTCGTGACCCTCCAACTGGAGCAGAAGCTCATGGTAGACCCAGTCAGTTATGGCATCATCCTTTGTATTAAACACTATGAAGGCATCATACTCCTCAGTTGACTGCCCTGGTCGCTTAGAGTAACATCCGATGGATGCCACGAGCACCTGACTCAGGTACCACAAGTCCCATGAAAAAAGCTTCAAGGTTAGGGTAACCACCAACCAGGCAATCACCAGAAAAGTTGAACCTAAGAAGAGTGTTTGACCATACAGGTCTTGACATGACTGGGGGTTCATAGAAAGTAGCAGCTTACCTCTCATGCTGTCCGGTGAATCGCACTTTATATTATTTGAAAGGCTCGGAAATATGATATTTGTCTCCATCAGGAAATGGATAAACCAACTGGTGCCACAACTACAGTCAAAGGGATTCTCCTGCACATCCATGAATTGCAAAGTTTGGAGGAGCTTCTTTGGGAAACTGTTCACATCTATGGTTCGAATCTGGTTTTTACCTAAGATAAGGTACTCAAGCTCCAGATACGATTCAAAAAACTCTTTGCTTACAGAGGTAATTTTGTTTGAGTGCAGGTTTAAGTAGGTGAGTTTGCTTTTGATGGTGGTCATGTTGTTGCAAAGAGATTTCAGGGAGTTATGACTGAGATCCAGGTGGGTAAGGTTGACTAGATGGGCAATCTTCTCCCAATGAAAGAATTGCAAATTATTATGAGAGATGATGAGAGTCTTAAGTGACAAAGGAAAATATTCCAACACATTTACGGGGATGACCACTAGCTTATTGTAGCTGATGTCCAATAACTGCAGACTGGTAATATTAGTAAATAGAGTGATGCATGTATTTTTACCATACTTCCACAAATTCATCAACTCGTTATTCCTGAAAAAAAGTCTCTCCAGTGAGGGGTTCTTGAGTTCTTCTGTTATACGGAAGCCAATCATGTTGTTGTTCAGGTTCAGTTCGATCAGACTGGTGAGGTTCTCAAGGAAACTGAGCCTGTGGTTTACACCTTTTAGCATCATGAACTGATACTCATTATGGGCCAGATTTAATATTCTGAGGTTTGGTAGTTCACTAAAGGCCAAGCAATAGTACAAGTCAAATCTGTTGTAAGAGAGATCCAAATGGCGCAGTGACTTCAGATGCCCAAACTGGTTACCATTTAGACCTTGGTTGATGTAGTTGTAGCTAATGTTCAGACATTCAACGTCCTCCATTCCCACAAAGTTATCTGAGTGTAGAGCCATCAGATTATTAAACGATAGGTCAACTGACCGATTATATTGCCAGCAGTCTGGACTTTTTTTTGTGGTATATTTATATATTCTATGCTTGTGTCATGTTGAAGTTCCACCCAGCTTGGAATGTTATCCTCGTGTCGACTGAAAGAGGAAACTGAGAATCCATTAATTCTTTTTTTTCGCAGCTTTGTTGGAAAGAGATCAGATTTCCTGCCAAATCAACTCTGTGAATGTTCTTATTTAGCAAAAGCATGCTCAGGTTTGCCTGTAGGATAAAATTTGTTCTGAGGACAATTACTTTCAGGTTTGGCAGCGTGAGCAGAGATTGAACACTCTTGGAATCTAGAAATTTGAAATAGTACCCAACCAGGGAGATCTTCTTGAGAGACCTCATGGCAGCGACACTGGGGTTTATAACCAATCTCTCATATGTTTTGTTTGGTTTACAGTTGAAGTCTAAGCCCAAGATTCGCACCTTTGGTAATTTTGAAAAAAATGTCTCAGTCTCTAAATCTAACAAGTTATCAGATAAATCCAAATAGATCAAGCTACTCATCGTGTCAAACAGAGAACTGTTCACGGTGGTAAGTGAGTTTCCTCTGAGGTTGAGGTAGAAGAGGTTGGTGAGGCAGTCAAATGCTCCAGGCCCAAATTGCAAGGCACTGTTGTTTTGGCAGGGAAAGCAAGCCTGGGCAGCATGGTCACACCCCTCTGGCAGTTCCACTGAACATCCAGTCGCCGGAGCTTGGTGAGGTGGCACAGGTCCTCTTTGTCAATCTTCCAGATCTTATTTTCTGCTAGATATAATTCTTTGAGAGATGAAGGAATGTTCCTGGGGAAGGAACTTATGTTATTAAAGGACAGCACCAGTATTTCCAAAGAGGTGATATCTCTGAGAGCACCATCGGAAATATGGAAGTCTCTGGCACACGTGTTCTGGTCATAACAGTTCCATCCAATGTTTAAAGAAGTCAGTTTGGTTAATCCAGCAAAGTCTGGCTCTGACAGTGTATAAAAGTTGTTGAGGTTCAAATTTAAGTGTTTAATGTTTTTAGGGAACAAAGGGACTGTGGTCAGACTGTTCCCACTCAGGTCCAGATATTCTAGATGTTCCAGATGGATCAATGCATAAGGTTGAATGTTCAGCCAGCACTGCTCTTCATCCACTCTCAGGTTTGTTGGCAGGCAGCTGCTGCTCATATTAAGCTTTTGTAGATTTGGCACACCAGCAAAAGTTCTGTTGGTCAGACGTCTCACTTTATTGACTGACACGTCGAATTCGATGACTCGGTCTGATGTGATGTGAGGCACATCCTTGAGGGAACGTCCTCCACATCTCACCACCGTAGCATTTTTCTCGTCATCACATGGGAGAAACTTTGGGAAGATGCTGAGTGAGGCAGACACTCCAAATATCAGCAATAGAGCCAATTTTGGAAGATGCCTTATGTCCTTTCAAAGGGAAATAGAAGGTGAGAAAAGGAATTAGACTTTACTTATTAATATTGTAAATCTTACTAAAATTATTAATAACATAAATGATGACATTTGTATACAGATCGGGGTATGAAGTCCTGGAGATGACTTCAGAGACAGGAATGAAAGTCATGTTGGTAAATGTTGGTCATTGGACAATTCTAGTAAAAATATGAATTTTATTTACCTGGAACAGATTATTTTCTCTGTCGTTAGATGCGTTTAGACTGAATCACACCGTTCTGCTGATATTATTGCACCCTAGTACCGGCGGGTGAGTGAAGGTAGGGGGTACATCCTACAGCAGAGGTCTGTATGAAACTGTACCCATTGCTTTGCCTTACCAACCACCAATGTAAGGAGCACCAATATTTACACTGCTTGAGGTTTACTATTTGTTTCATTTGATGATCATTACTGAAAATAACTGCGTTGTAGTCCATGGGGGGAGGGGGTGTTAGCAAATTATCTGCTCTGCGTGTCAAACTCTGCAAAGTATGGCACATTGTTTATTTTCTATTTTTCTGTTCCCAGTATTATTAACTTATCACAATAATGTACTGTGAGCTGTACATACACCAGCCTATCTCAACCTTTTTAACATGGAGGAGCACTTCAAATAAACTTAGTTGTACCTTAGCATGGTTGTCAAAGGGAAGAATGTCCCTTACATTGGTGGTCAATGGGAAGAATGTCCCTTACATTGGTGGTCAGTGGGAAGAATGCTCCTTACATTGGTGGTCAGTGGGAGAATGCTCCTTACATTGGAGGTCAATGGGAAGAATGCCCCTTACATTGGAGGTCAATGGGAAGAATGTCCCTTACATTGGAGGTCAATGGGAAGAATGCCCCTTACATTGGAGGTCAATGGGAAGAATGCCCCTTACATTGGAGGTCAGTGGGAAGAATGCCCCTTACATTGGAGGTCAGTGGGAAGAATGTTCCTTACAATGGAGGTCAGTGGAAGAATGTTCCTTACATTGGAGGTCAGTGGGAAGAATAATCCTTACATTGGAGGTCAGTGAGGGAGCAGAATGCTTCTTAAAATGCAGGTCAATGGGAAGAATGCTCCTTACATTGGAGGCCAGTGGGAAGAATCCCCTTACATTGGAGGTCAATGGGCAGAATGTTCCTTACTTTGGGGGTCAGTGAGAAGAATACTGTTTACATTGGGGGTCAGTGGGCAGAATGCTCCTTACATTGGAGGTCAGTGGGCAGAATGCTCCTTAATTGGAGGTCAATGGGCAAATCCCTTACATTGGAGGTCAGTGGGCAGAATGCTTCTTACAATGCAGGTCAATGGGAAGAATGCTCCTTACATTGGTGGTCAGTGGGCAGAATGCCCTTACATTGGAGGTCAATGGGAAGAATGTCCCTTACATTGGAGGTCAATGGGAAGAATGTGCCCCTTACATTGGGGGTCAATGGAAGAATGCTCCTTTTACATTGGTGGTCAGTGGGCAGAATGCTCCTTACATTGGAGGTCAATGGGAAGAATGTCCCTTACATTGGGGGTCAGTGGGAAGAATGTCCCTTACATTGGGGGTCAGTGGGAAGAATGTCCCTTACATTGGTGGTCAATGGAAAGTATGCCTTCCCTTTGGGTAGGTAAAATGACCATTGGTTTCAAACCAACCTCTGGAGGAACCCTGGTTGCGAATTGTTGGTGTAAACATTTTAGCGGGGGTTCCTTGGGACCTGTAATTTTATTTCAAGGATTCCTCCAGTGCAAAAAAAACGAGAAAGGCTGAGTTAAAAGTTCACAATGATCTCTAGTCCCGCATTCACTATATCCGCTCTCCCCGGAACCCGCATTCACTATATCCGCTCTCCCCGGACCCCGCATTCACTATATCCGCTCTCCCCGAACCCCGCATTCACTGTATCCGCTCTCCCCGGACCCCACATTCACTGTATCCGCTCTCCCCGAACCCCGCATTCACTGTATCCGCTCTCCCCGGACCCCGCATTCACTGTATCCGCTCTCCCCGGACCCCGCATTCACTGTATCCGCTCTCCCCGGACCCCGCATTCACTGTATCCGCTCCCCCGGACCCCGCATTCACTATATCCGCTCTCCCCGGACCCCGCATTCACTATATCCGCTCTCCCCGGACCCCGCATTCACTATATCCGCTCTCCCCCGGACCCCGCATTCACTATATCCGGTCTCCCCGGACCCCGCATTCACTATATCCGCTCTCCCCGGACCCCGCATTCACTATATCCGCTCTCCCCGGACCCCGCATTCACTATGTCCGCTCTCCCCATACCCCGCATTCACTATGTCCGCTCTCCCCGGACCCCGCATTCACTATGTCCGCTCTCCCAGGACCCTGCATTCACTATGTCCACTCTCCCCGGACCCTGAATTCACTATATCTGGTCTCCCCAAACCCCGCATTCACTATATCTGGTCTCCCCAAACCCGCATTCACTATATCTGGTCTCCCCGGACCCCGCATTCACTATATCCAGTCTCCCCGGACCCCGCATTCACTATATTCGCTCTCCCCGGACCCTGCATTCCCTATACTAAAAACTCTATAGCAATACACACCAAATTGAGCATGTGCAGCTTGCCCCCAAGGCTCCATTCAGCAGATGGATTGGGGACAGCAGAAGAAGGGGAGGATCAGAGAAGACAGGATCAAAGAGCCTTTTTACACAATGTGGAGGATTAACCCCTTAGGTTCCACAGTGGGTATAACGCTCTACTGCATCTACAGACTGATTTTACTATTGTGGGTTTAGTAACACATTAAGGCCTCCTCCTCTCTCCTCTACTACATTTGGCATGTCATTTTTTTTTTTGGAGGGGGGGGAGCAGGTACAGTTTTGACAGGTACTGCTCCACTTCCGCTTGGGTCACATGCAGGGTTAGACCCAGCAGGGGCGGACTGACAACTCATGGGGCCCCAGTGTCGTTGCCCAAACTCAAAAAAGCCTATGAAAAAGGTACCAGGGGCATCTCAAGGGGCCCCCTACTGACCCCGGGCCCTTGGGCATTGCCCGGGTTTCCAAATGGTCAGTCCGCCCCTGGACCCAGAACTACAACAGGGCTGCTCCAGTCTTCCAACTATTTATGTGCTCCTCAGCCACCTACTGGGCACACCTCCCAAGGGACTGGCTACAGAACCATGAATATTCATGCTACCCATTTGTCTTGCTCAACCTCCTATGTTCCAGAAGTCTCCAGAAAGCAGGGGAGAGCAATCAAGCCTGCAACCTGTGAAACCCAGAACAGACAAAAGCAATCAACAGCCGCTCCAATGAATACAGAGGAGCCAACAAGAATTGACCTAACATCTTAGCAGCCTATCTACGAGGTGCTACAACTGACTGTGAGATGAACATGGTGTTCAGACCTGCCAGGCATACACACCAGACAGAACAACCACCAGCCAGACTGCATTGGGTCCTCCAGGAGTTCCATGATGTGCAATGGCTACATACAAGCTCTGCAGGTAGAGGAGGGATCATGGCACACATTGTTACATTGCTGACACCAAATATCTCCATCAATATGTGAAGCTGAGAGGAGCACTCACCATTCCTCCACGTCTCCGGCTGTCACGGTTTGTGTGAAGGTCGGAGGTGGAGCTGTTGGTTCCTCACTCTGAAGTTCTCCTTTCAGTTCTGCAATCTGCTGGTGGTGTGTCCTTCAAGATTCCGCTCAATGGTAGCTGACGGATCAGCAAATCGTGATTGGCTCAACCAGACGAAGAGTGGAATCCTATACTGTGTCGTGGTTCGGACGGATGATCAGAGAAATCGGGTTGCTACAGATCACCGCAGAAAACTGAACCCCAGGAAGGTGCAAAAATAAAAAATTCTGCAACTTTGTAATTATTTATTCAATATTTAAAACTGAAGATGTCCAGTCAGCAGGGAGGGGGTGTGTCTCTGACCAAGGTGTCCAGTCAGCAGGGTGGGGGTGTGTCTCTGACCAAGGTGTCCAGTCAGCAGGGTGGGGGTGTGTCTCTGACCAAGGAAGGTGTCCAGTCAGCAGGGTGGGGGTGTGTCTCTGACCAAGGAAGGTGTCCAGTCAGCAGGGTGGGGGTGTGTCTCTGACCAAGGTGTCCAGTCAGCAGGGAGGGGGTGTGTCTCTGACCAAGGTGTCCAGTCAGCAGGGAGGGGGTGGGTCTCTGACCAAGGTTTCCAGTCAGCAGGGAGGGGGTGGGTCTCTGAGCAAGGTGTCCAGTCAGTAGGGAGGGGGGTGTGTCTGACCAAGGTGTCCAGTCAGCTGGGATTGGGTGTCTCTCTGACCAAGGTGTCCAGTCAGATGGGATTGGGTGTGTCTCTGACCAAGGTGTCCAATCAGCAGGGAGCGGGTGTGTCACTGACCAAGGTGTCCAGTCAGCTGGGTGGGGGTGTGTCTCTGACCAAGGTGTCCAGTCAGCAGGGAGGGGGTGTGTCTCTGACCAAGGTGTTCAGTCAGCTGGGTGGGGATGTGTCTCTGACCAAGGTGTCCAGTCAGCTGGGATTGGGGGTGTCTCTGACCAAGGTGTCCTGTCAGCAGGGAGGGAGGGTGTCTCTGACCAAGGTGTCCAGTCAGAAGGGAGGGGGGGTGTCTCTGACCAAGGTGTCTAGTCAGCAGGAAGGGTGTGTGTCTCTGACCAAGGTGTCCAGTCAGCTGGGATTGGGTGTGTCTCTGACCAAGGTGTCCAATCAGCAGGGGAGGGGGTGTGTCTGACCAAGGTGTCCAGTCAGCAGGAAGGGGTGTGTCTCTTACCAAGATGTCCAGTCAGCAGGTAAGGGGTGTATCCCTGACCAAGGTGTCCAGTCAGCAGGTAAGGGGTGTATCCCTGACCAAGGTGTGCTACTTCACTGTCCAGCCAGCAGGTGGAGGTGTGTCTCTGACCAAGGTGTATGACTTCACTGTCCAGTGAGCATGGTGGGGGTGTGTCCCAGACCATGGTGTATTACGGCAGGGCAGGTCCAGGACCTGGCAGTGCTGTATGATAGGGGTGCCTGGATCAGAAAACAGACTCAAAAGAATTTAAAAATGTAAAAAATAGCTAATCAGCCCCTATACTGGCAGGATCAGGAGCATGTTTACATCCAAGTGTTGTCTTATTAGCCAGTGATCCTGGAATATTCAGGTGATAGAACACATGAGGCACAGGATTGTCTTGTATACACTATATTGCCCCAAGTATTGGTCGGCCGGCCTTCCCATGCACATGACCTTTAATGGCCCCCCAGTCTTAGTCCGTAGGGTTCAATATTGAGTTGGCCCCACCCTTTGCGGCTATAACAGCTTCAACTCTTCTGGGAAGGCCGTCCACAAGGTTCAGGAGGGTGTCTATGGGAAGGTTGGACCATTCTTCCAGAAGCACATTTGTCAGGTCAGGCACTGATGTCGGGGGAGGAGGCCTGGCTCACAGTCTCCGCTCTAATTCATCCCAAAGGTGTTCTATGGGGTTGAGGTCAGGACTCTGTGCAGGACAGTCAAGTTCCTCCACCCCAAACTGGCTCCTCCATGTCTTTATGGACCTTGCTATGTGCACTGGTGCGCAGTCATGTTGGAACAGGAAGAGGCCATCCCCAAACTCTTCCCACAAAGTTGGGAGCATGAAATTGTCCAAAATGTCACCTTAAGAGTTCCCTTCACTGGAACTAGGGGGCCAAGCCGAACCCCTGAAAAACAACCCCACACCATAATCCCCCTCCACCAAACTTTACACTTGGCACAATGCAGTCAACCAAGTACCGTTCTCCTGGCAACAGCCAAACCCAGACACGGCCATCAGATCGGCAGACAGAGAAGTGTGATTGGTCACTCCAGAGAACATGTCTCCACTGCTCTAGAGTCCAGTGGCGGCATGCTTTACACCACGGCATCCGACGCTTTGCATTGCACTTGGTGATGTAAGGCTTGGATGCAGCTGCTCGGCCATGGAAACCCATTCCATGAAGCTCTCTACACACTGTTGTTGTGCTAATCTGAAGGCCACACCAAGTTTGGAGGTCTTTAGCGATTGACTCTGCAGACAGTTGGTGACTTCTGCGCACTGTGCACTTCAGCATGCGCTGACCCCGCCCTGTCATGTGACGTGGCCTACCACTTGGTGGCTGAGTGGCTGTTGTTCCCAGTTGCTTCCACTTTGTTATAATCCCACTAACAGTTGAGCGTGGAATATTTAGTAGCCAGGAAATGTCACGGATGGACTTATTGCCCAGGTGACCACCTATCACGGGACCACGCTTGGAGTCACTGAGCTCCTGAGAGCGACCCATTCTTTCACCAATGTTTGTAGAAGCCGTCTGCATGCCTAGGGGCTTGATTGTATACACCTGTGTCCATGGAGGGGATTGGAACACCTGAATCACATGATATGGAGGGGATTGGAACACCTGAATCACATGATTTGGAGGGGATTGGAACACCTGAATTACATGATTTGGAGGGGATTGGAACACCTGAATTACATGATATGGAGGGGATTGGAACACCTGAATCACATGATATAGAGGTGATTGGAACACCTGAATCACATGATTGGGACGGCGGGGCCAATACTTTTGGCAATATAGTGTATATCAGGGGTGGTCTGTTATAGGACATGGGTTGTGCAGCAAGGTGACACAATATGGTACAGTGAGTGCACGGGGGGTCCGGGGGACTGCGCTCACATGTGGGGGATCTACCATGGTATAATGTTGGATTTTTTAGCACTTGATTCATTTATTCCCGATTTTCGGTTAAACAATCCCTTCACCTTACTATAAGGCTGGCCATACACTATACAATGTTCTGCCCAATCTCCTTTAGATTTACCTTCAACTATGTAGTGCAAGGGCCCACCAGATTGGATACAACTGAAAGTGTTGTTTAGGTTTGACCTCCTATTATATGGTTTTTGGTAAATCTAAAGTAAAAATCTCAAGAAAATTGTATAATGTATGGCCGGCCTAATACTTTGTGACAACAACATCAATATCTCCCACTGAGAAAGGCTGGACAGGTCTTAGGTATCATGTGACCAGAACAACGAGCCCCTCCCCGGTCTATGCATGTGCCATTAATCACTGTTATGTCAGTAAATGCCGTGATCAGACCTCCCATGATAGCAGTCTGAGTATAAAGAGCCGTGACATCACATGTGTGTATGATGAGTCCCAGCATGTCCAGTGTTTACGGGTGGAGATCCCCGACAACTGAGCCGGGCTGGGAGGTGAGTGTTGTTAGTTACCAGCAAAGAAGGCGAGGAGGAGACCGCACAGGACAGGTAGGAGCTCAGCACAACATACTATATTATAGAATATGCCGGGGCTGGAGGACATGAAACATGCAAAATATATCATATATAACATAAGGACCGCATAGATCCTAACATGCCGACTATATCATATATAACAGAACGACCGCATAGATCCTAACATACCGACTATATCGTATATAACAGAACGACCGCATAGATCCTAACATACCGACTATATCATATATAACAGAACGACCGCATAGATCCTAACATACCGACTATATCATATATAACATAAGGACCGCAAAGATCCTAACATACCGACTATATCATATATAAGGACCGCATAGATCCTAACATACCGACTATATCATATATAACAGAACGACCGCATAGATCCTAACATACCGACTATATCATATATAACATAAGGACCGCATAGATCCTAACATACCGACTATATCATATATAACATAACGACCGCATAGATCCTAACATACCGACTATATCATATATAACAGAAGGACCGCATAGATCCTAACATACCGACTATATCATATATAACATAACGACCGCATAGATCCTAACATACCGACTATATCATATATAACATAAGGACCGCATAGATCCTAACATGCCGACTATATCATATATAACATAAGGACCGCATAGATCCTAACATACCGACTATATCATATATAACATAACGACCGCATAGATCCTAACATACCGACTATATCATATATAACATAAGGACCGCATAGATCCTAACATACCGACTATATCATATATAACAGAACGACCGCATAGATCCTAACATACCGACTATATCATATATAACATAACGACCGCATAGATCCTAACATGCCGACTATATCGTATATAACATAACGACCGCATAGATCCTAACATACCGACTATATCATATATAACATAAGGACCGCATAGATCCTAACATACCGACTATATCATATATAACATAACGACCGCATAGATCCTAACATACCGACTATATCATATATAACAGAAACGACCGCATAGATCCTAACATGCCGACTATATCATATATAACATAAGGACCGCATAGATCCTAACATACCGACTATATCATATATAACATAACGACCGCATAGATCCTAACATACCGACTATATCATATATAACAGAACGACCGCATAGATCCTAACATACCGACTATATCATATATAACATAAGGACCGCATAGATCCTAACATACCGACTATATCATATATAACATAACGACCGCATAGATCCTAACATACCGACTATATCATATATAACATAACGACCGCATAGATCCTAACATACCGACTATATCATATATAACATAACGACCGCATAGATCCTAACATGCCGACTATATCATATATAACATAACATAGATCCTAACATACCGACTATATCATATATAACATAAGGACCGCATAGATCCTAACATACCGACTATATCATATATAACATAGATCCTCTACCGCATACCGATCCAATAACACGACCGCATCCTAACATGCCGACTATATCATACATAACATAACGACCGCATAGATCCTAACATATGCCGACTATAACATAGATCCGACTAAATCGTATATAACAGAACGACCGCATAGATCCTAACATGCCGACTATATCGCAACAGAACGACCGCATAGATCCTAACCTAATAAACATGACCGCATAGATCCTAACATGCCGACTATATCATATATAACAGAACGACCGCATAGATCCTAACATAACTATATCATATATAACAGAACGACCGCATAGATCCTAACATGCCGACTATATCATATACAGTTGCAAGAAAAAAGTATGTGAACCCCTTGGGATTACGTGGAGTTTTGCATGAATTGGGCATAAAATGTGCTCTGAACGTCATCTAAGTCACAACAATAGAAGAACACAGTCTGCTGAACATAATACTACACAAACATTAGATGTTGCCATGGTTTAATTGCACATAACATGTAAACATTCACAGTGCAGGGAGGAAAAAGTATGTGAACCTTTGGACTTAATAACTGGTTGACCCTCCTTTGGCAGCAATAACCTCAACCAAACCGTTTCCTGTAGTTGCAGATCAGACCTGCACAACGATCTGGAGTCATTTTGGACCACTCCTCTTCACAAAACTGTTTCAGTGTAGCAATATTCTTGGGATGTCTGGTGTGAATCGCTCTCTTAAGGTCATGCCACAGCATTTCAATCGGGTTGAGGTCAGGACTCTGACTGGGCCACTATACAAGTACCTGAAATAAATGATATGTAACATGCTACATAATAGTAACATACTGTAGCAACCACTATAAAATATAGAACACATAACATGCTGATGATGTAGTATACTGCATAACATACTATATTATATATAAAAGACTGACTATATAAACTGGTGACTAGCAGGAACTCCCCCCCCCCCCCCCCCCCCCGAATCACTTCTTGTCTCTGCCCCCTACCCATCTCCATATGGAAGAAAAATATATTTGAAATGCTACAATTTTGGCCATATTCAATATATATATATATATTACTGTATGTTAAAACTTGGTTTTTATATATTACAAAATATATGAAAAATATATATTTTTTTTTAAAATATATTCTTCAGATTTATTTTTAAAATATAAAAAAGGCATTTTTACATATATTTGTAAATGCAAAAAAAAAATGTAGATTTGTATATTTAAAGACATACAGTATATTTTAAAATGTGTTTTTTAAAAATATTTTTGATATATTTTGTAATAAAAACGCATTTCAACATACAGCATATGTTTATTTATTTATTGAAATATATTGAATACGTCCAAAATTGTAGTATTTCACATATATGTCAATATATTTGGGAAGAATATTTAAAAAATATATTTTTCTTCCATATGTTCCTACTCACCTGTCAGTACTGTTCCTTATAGAGAATACACAGCCAAGTATTTTTTGTGGCGCTAAGTCATTTGTATGGAATTTGTTAATGATAACAAAAAAAGCAGTACAGTAGATCCCTTTCAGCAGCAATAGACCCCCCCACCCCCAGCAACAATAAATTCCTCAGGCAACAATGGGCCCTGGCAACAAAATACCACCCCAGCAACAATAGACACCCAGCAGCAACAACAGATCTCCCATCAGCCAGCGTCTAAAGACTCCACAGTAGTCAGCAACAATAGACCCCTCCCTCAACAGTAAATCCCTTCCAGCAACAATAGACCCCCCCCCTCCCAGCAACAATAAATTCTTCAGGCAACAATGGGCCCGGCAACAAAATACCACCCCAGCAACAATGGACACCCAGCAGCAACAACAGATCTTCCAGCAGCCAGCGTCAAAAGACTGCAGCAGCCAGCAACAATATATCCGAATCTCAGAATTTCAATTTGAAAAGAAATGGGCTGCACATGTCTAATTTTTATATCTGTATGGAGTTTTTGGAACAAACGTATACAATACCCATATACACAGAACTCTGTTTTGGGAAACCCCGCACACCCTTTCTGGGAAGTAGAACCTGCTGGTGTCTCAGAGCCATCATGGTCATCCTGTCTCTGATCTTCTCTGTTTCCATACAGGTGACAACCCCCAGAGATTTGCGCTAGGAAAGACACCCACTTCCTCGCCCTGAGCGACCACACCTGAAGCCATGGGGTCCTTACCCCCCGCGCTGCTGTGTGTCACCCTCCTCTTCATCCACAAGACCTGGGGACAAGGTACATACATGACTGCAGTGCTGGGCACTCTGATCTCTTCCCCAATCTGCATTCCAGGGGTGTATTATACTTGTAGATCAGACCGGGTCAGAATTGACAAATCTGTGTTATTATTTACTGTCTTGTTTGCTGCTGTGTCCGTGCAGGTGAGCGCAGGAAGGGAGGAGATAGGGAACCGGGAGAGAAGGTGGAAGCAGGGAGGCAGAAGAGAGAGGTAGAGAAGGAGTAGGTAAGGAGCAGGGAAAAGGTATGGAAGGTGCGGGAAAAGATAAAGAAGGAGCAGGGAAGAGTTAAAGAAGGAGCAGGGAAGGGGTGGGGAAGAGGTAGAGAAGGAATAAGGAAGGAGCGGGGAAGAGGTAGAAAAGGAGTAAGGAAGGAGCAGAGAAGAAGTAGAGAAGGCGTAGGGAAGAAGCGGGGAAGAGGTAGAGGAGTAAGGAAGGAAGAGCAAGGAAGAGGTAGAAAAGGAGTAAGGAGGGGAGCGGGGAAGAAGTAGAGAAGGCGTAGGGAAGAAGCGGGGAAGAGGTAGAGAAGGAGTAGGGAAGGAGAGGGGAAAAAGTAGGGAAGGAGTGGGGAACAGGTAGAGAAATAGCTGGGAAGGAGCTGGAAAAAGGTAGAGAAGGAGTAAAGCAGGAGCAGGGAAGAGGTAGAGAAGGAGTAAGGAAAGAGCGGGGAAGAGGTAGAGAAAGATTAGAAAAGGAATGGGGAAGAGATAGAGAAGGAGTAGGGAAGGAATGGGGAAGAGGTAGAGAAGGAGAGGGGGAGGAATGGGGAAGAGGTAGAGAAGGAGTAGGGAAGGAATGGGGAAGAGGTAGAGAAGGAGTAGGGAAGGAATGGGGAAGAGACAGAGAAGGAGTAGGGAAGGAATGGGGGAAGAGGTAAAAAAAGGATTAAGGAATGAGTGGGGAAGAGGTAGAGAAGAAGTGGGGAAGAGGTAGAAAAGGAGTAGAGAAGGAGAGGGGGAAAACATAGAGAAGGAGGAGGGAAGAATGGGGAAGAGGTAGAGAAGGAGTAGGGAAGGAATGGGGAAGAGGTAGAGAAGGAGTAGGGAAGAAATGGGGGAAGAGGTAAAAAAAGGAGTAAGGAAGTAGCGGGGAAGAGGGAGAGAAGGAGTAGGGAAGGAATGGGAAAGAGGTAGAGAAGGTGTAGGGAAGGAATGGGGAAGAGATAGAGAAGAAGTAGGGAAGAAATGGGGAAGAGGTAGTGAAGGAGTAGGGAAGAAATGGGGAAGAGGTAGAGAAGGAGTAGGGGAAGGAATAGGGATAGGAGGTAGAGAAGGAGTAGAGAAGGAATGGGGAAGAGGCAGAGAAGGAGTAGGGAAGGAATGGGGAAGAGACAGAGAAGGAGTAGGGAAGGAATGGGGGAAGAGGTAAAAAAAGGATTAAGGAATGAGTGGGGAAGAGGTAGAGAAGAAGTGGGGAAGAGGTAGAAAAGGAGTAGAGAAGGAGAGGGGAAAACATAGAGAAGGAGTAGGGAAGGAGCGGGGAAGAGGTAGAGAAGTAGTTGGAAAGGAGCGGGGGAGAGAGGAGAAAAGGAGAGGGGAAAAAGTAGAGGAGTAGGGAAGGCACAGGAGAGTAGAAGGAGTGGGGAAGGGGAAGAGCAAGGATGGAGAAAAAGAGAAGGAATAGGGAAGAGGAAGGGAATGAGTGGGAAGAGGTCAGAGAAGGAGTAGGGAAGGAGTAGAATAGGAGCAGGAAAGGAGCTCAGAAGGAATGCGGAAAGGACAAAGAAGGAGCGGGGAAGCGACAGTGTAGGAGCAATGAGGAGAAGGGGAAGGAGCTGGTAGGGAATGAGGAAGGTCTATACACTGCCAGCTTGTTAGAAAGCTTTATTGAAGACCCTCACTGGTTCTGCAGGTACTGAGATAGGCCATTAAGTGTAGCTATTAATCCTGGGGGTTGTAAAAGGAAAATGGTGATGGGGACTCTGATGTAAGGGTGGACTCTGCCCTAAGGGGGGACAACTAAGGTGGATTGTGATACAAGGGGGCTCTGATGGGGACCCTGATGTAAGAAGGACTCCAATGGGGATTATGAAGAAAAACTTCTTCACTTATTTATTATTCCATAACTATTTTTCTTCGGTCCTGTGAATATTTGTAAACTCTAGCATGTGGCCCACCTACTGAAAAGTTTTGGGGTCCCCCATGTATAGAATAAATGTGAGCTGTTAGTGTATGGCCTCTGTTCCTGTGGTGGGGCTCAGCTGGTGTCACCATGCAGATCACCCCCGTACTTTGTATCTTCTATTTGTAGTGGAGTTCCTCACCTTGCCAGACACGGTGTCCATTAAAGAAAGTTCTCCCATCGGCACCTCCGTTCATAACTTCAGTCTGATCAACTGTACCAGCAACAACCCCACCGTCACCATCACCAGCGTCATCCCACCGGTGAACTACTTCAACACCCCGTCGCAGACCGTCAGCGGTTCCGTCTTTGATCTACAGGTGAGACCAGTGCTGTCAGGGAGACACGGTACCCGCTGAGTGCACAGGGAATTACATTTTCAACTTTCAATTGGAGGATCAAACCGGAAAGCTGTGGACACAGTGTGGAAAATTCCCATGTCTGCTCCATTGTTCACATACACTATATTGCCAAAAGTATTGGGCCGCTGGCCTTTCCACGCACATGACCTTTAATGGTCCCCCAGTCTTAGTCCGTAGGGTTCAATATTGAGTTGGCCCACCCTTTGCAGCTATAACAGCTTCAACTCTTCTGGGAAGGCCGTCCACAAGGTTTAGGAGGGTGTCTATGAGCAGGTTGGACCATTCTTCCAGAAGCACATTTGTCAGGTCAGGCACTGATGTCGGGGGAGGAGGCCTGGCTCGCAGTCTCCGCTCTAATTCATCCCAAAGGTGTTCTATGGGATTGAGGTCAGGACTCTGTGCAGGACAGTCAAGTTCCTCCACCCCAAACTGGCTCCTCCATGTCTTTATGGACCTTGCTTTGTGCACTCGTGCGCTGCCATGTTGGAACAGGAAGGGGCCATCCCCAAACTCTTCCCACAAAGTTGGGAGAATTAAATTGTCCAAAATGTCGCCTTAAGAGATCCCTTCACTGGAACTAGGGGGCCAAGCCCAATTCCTGAAAAACAACCCCCCACCATAATCCCCCCTCCACCAAACTTTACACTTGGCACAATGCAGTCAAGCAAGTACCGTTCTCCTGGCCTCCGCCAAACCCAGACATGTCCATCGGATTGCCAGACAGAGAAGCATGATTGGTCACTCCCAGAGAACACGTTTCTACTGCTCTAGAGTCCAGTGGTGGCGTGCTTTACACCACGGCATCCAACACGTTGCATTGCACTTGGTGATGGAAGGCTTGGATGCAGCTGCGCGGCCATGGAAACCCATTCCATGAAGCTCTCTACGCACTGTTGTTGGGCTCATCTGAAGGCCACACCAAGTTTGGAGGTCTTTAGCTATTGACTCTGCAGACAATTGATGACCTCTGCGCACTGTGCGCTTCAGCATGCGCTGACCCCACCCTGTCATGTGACGTGGCCTACCACTTGGTGGCTGAGTTGCTGTTGTTCCCAGTTGCTTCCACTTTGTTATAATCCCACTAACAGTTGAGCGTGGAATATTTAGTAGCCAGGAAATGTCACGGATGGACTTATTGCACAGGTGGCCACCTATCACGGGACCACGCTTGGAGTCACTGAGCTCCTGAGAGCGACCCATTCTTTCACCAATGTTTGTAGAAGCCGTCTGCATGCCTAGGGGCTTGATTGTATACACCTGTGTCCATGGAGGGGATTGGAGCACCTGAATCACATGATATGGAGGGGATTGGGAACACCCGAATCACATGATTTGGAGGGGATTGGAACACCCGAATCACTGATTGGGAGGCTGGGGCCAATACTTTTGGCAGTATAGTGTACTTGTAAGGGTGTCTCTGTAAAAGCTAAACTATCCACTTTGTTTCCAATTAGGCAGGTCATTTTGCTACATAGTCATTAAATTGGAAATTGTGCAATCAGATTGTAACGTGTGGTGAGCTTAAGGCTGCCTGTCTCTCTGTGTTGCCAACACAGCTATTCTCTTCCTCTTGGCCTTGACAAGGGACCTCCTCTTGCTCAGTGCCCTTAACCCCCACTTCCAAAGCACCCGTGGTCAGTTGTCCTAGGCTGGAGCACTCAGGAGCTACTCAACCTGCCCCTGTGCCATGCCTTACATAGAAAAAAATGGCCTTAAATAGCATTGGGGTACGTCAAACATAGCTGAGATCCAATACATGGTGCCAACATGTGTGTCTATAGCCCTAGGGAAGTGGTTCTCAACCTGTGGGTCGTGACCCCTTTGGGGGTCAAACGACCCTTTCACAGGGGTCCCCTAAGACCATCAGTAAACACATATTTCCGATGTGTAAAGAGTAGCTACTGTGTTGAAAACAGCTACTGTGTTGAAAGCAGCCGTATTGGAGGTAAAACGACACTTCATGAATTATAATTACTGGGTAAATCATTCTATGGTTGGGGGTCACCACAACATGAGGAACTGTATTAAAGGGTCACGGCATTAGGAAGGTTGAGAACCACTGCCCTAGGGGATCAAGAAGATTTTTTTTTTTTCCACTGGTGGAGAAAATCGAACCATGCTTAGGGAATTTTTATATGGAGGTTTTCATGTTATCTATTTGTTTATTCTGTTGGTTGAACGTGATGGACTTGTGTCTTTTTTCAACTTGACTCGTACTAGTAGGTTCTTGCTCCGTCCCTCTCAAGCAGGTTCCTGTCCTTGACCACACACTTACCAGAAGTACGACAAAGCTGGTTCCTTTATTTAAAAGGTTCCCTCATCCAAATTGACTACTGAGGTCTCTCGTGAGTTCAGTGTCCAATCAGACCAATGCAGGCACTGTATGGAACCCCTAAGGGTTCAATTGCCTTAGGAGACTCCCTTTCCAAGCAGTATAGACACAAAGCCACCTACAGGCAGGAAGGCTAGCTGCACCTGCCTACATGCCGAATGAGAGGTGACTGGTGCCAAGAGGCCATACCAATGGCCAGTGACCGCTCACCCACGGAGTATGCACCATGCTCAACTTATATAGTCATTGATCATGGGATGTATTTGGTTTCTGTTTATTATAACACTGTTTTAAGAACTGTGACCCAAACTGAATTGAGCGGTGTCGCTCGAGTCTCCACCAGGTCCCCTTATGAAGCAACCGCTTGGAGTGCAGACAAGGACGGAGCTCGTTCCAGCTCTAAACCTCTAATGGAAAAGGGAGAAGTCCTGGAAGTCGCACATCTCTGCAAAACCCCGTAAGAAGGTGTATGACAGCCTCAGCCTGGGATCCAACCAGGCCACACATCCCAACGCGTTTCAATCTGCCCACTGAGCTAAGTCATGGGCTATTTCAGTGGACAGACTGAAATGTATTGGGGGGGTACCCTGGTTGGAGCCTGGGTTGAGGCTGCCATACACCTTCATGAAGGGTTTTGCAGATATGATCGACTTTCAGGATTTCTCCCTTTTCCATTAACTGTTCTCACAATTGTTTCATATGCAATTAATTATTTGTAGCTCAGAAAGGGGGTTAAAGGGGTTAAATGTCCTTCTGTCATGGAAATGCTATCTCTGGATGGAGCTGGGGAGGGTTTAAGGTCCATGCCATCTGTGTCCCCAATCAGGAGATTCCACCTTACTTCCTGTCCAGGTAACAACAGTTCTGGCACAGGAAGTAAAATCTGTGGAGTCACAGGCCGCTAACAGATGTTTGGACTCCTCCCTGCTCCATCCAAAACTAGGAAAGGGAATCTTTTCCCAGAGAAATGCAAACAGTATTGACTTTCAGTGCATGCTGGGACTTGTAGTAGCCCAAGGGCTGGACAGGGCACATGTGGAAAAGCCAGAACATGTGTGATGACGTCACGTGTATGTATGACCTCACTGTATTTTGTCTGTTAGATCACGCTCAGCAGCACGGCGACTCTGAACGCACAAGTGGTGAATGAATACATCCTGCAGATCACCGCCGTATGCGGCAATGAGACCATCATCGGTCAGCTGTTTGTCAATATCATAGACGACATCCCAGAGCCGCAGTGTGAGCCGAAGTTCTCCAGCCAAAGTAAGGTCCAACGCCTTGCCCATCGTCATTTGACCACACAGCGTTCAAGGGTACCAGTATTCCTATACATGGGGGGGGGGGGGGGGGTCACACAATAGTCAACCCCCACCTAGTAAGATGGAGGAGGTACACTTTAATGAACAACAGCAGAAAGTGCTTCAATTAAACTGTATCCAGAATGGATAGCGGACCGCATGGCGTCCTGACCGCCATCTATATGGAGCTTCCTGATAAAATGGACGGGCAATGCTGCATATGAAGCTCAGCAAGAGATGGGCCTCCAGATACCCATATGGAAGAAAAATGTATTTTAAAAATATTCTTCCCAAATATATTGACATATATTTGAAATATTAAAATTTTGGCCGTATTCAATATATTTCAATAAATATATATATACACTGTATGTTGAAATGCATTTTTATTATACAATATATGAAAAATATATTTAAAAATACATTTTCAGATATACTGTATGTCTTTAAAAATACAAATCTACATTTTTGGAATGCATTTACAAATATATGTGAAAATATAGGTTAAAATGACTTTTTTTATATGTTAAGAAAAATTTGAAGAATATATTTAAAAAAAAAATATTTTTAAAAATATTTTTCATATATTGTGCAATATATAAAAAACGCATTTCAACATGCTATATATATATACATATTGAATATGGCCAAAATTGTAGTATTTCAAATACAGTGGGGCAAAAAAGTATTTAGTCACCACCAATTGTACAAGTTCTCCCACTTACAAAGATGAGAGAGGCCTGTAATTGGCATCATAGGGAGACCTCAACTATGAGAGACAAAATGAGAAAACAAATCCAGACAATCACATTGGCTGATCTGGAAAGAATTTATTTGCAAATTGTGGTGGAAAATAAGTATTTGGTGAATATGAAAAGTTCATGTCAATACTTTGTTATATATCCTTTGTTGGCAATGACAGAGGTCAGACGTTTCCTGGAAGTCTTCACAAGGTTGGCACACACTGTTGCTGGTATGTTGGCCCATCCTCCATGCAGATCTCCTCTAGAGCAGTGATGTTTTGGGGCTGTCGCTGGGCAACACGGACTTTCAACTCCCTCCAAAGGTTTTCTATGGGGTTGAGATCTGGAGACTGGCTAGGCCACTCCAGGACCTTGAAATGCTTCTTACGAAGCCACTCCTTTGTTGCCTGGGCGGTATGTTTGGGATCATTGTCATGTTGGAAGACCCAGCCACGTTTCATCTTCAATGCCCTTGCTGATGGAAGGAGGTTTGCACTCAAAATCTCACGATACATGGCCCCATTCATTCTGTCCTGTACATGGATCAGTCGTCCTGGTCCCTTTGTGGAGAAACAGCCCCAAAGCATGATGTTGCCACCCCATGCTTCACAGTAGGTATGGTGTTCTTTGGATGCAACTCAGCATTCTCTCTCCTCCAAACACGACAAGTTGTGTTTCTACCAAACAGTTCTATTTTGGTTTCATCTGACCATATGACATTCTCCCAATCCTCTTCTGGATCATCCAAATGCTCTCTAGCAAACTTCAGACGGGCCCGGACATGTACTGGCTTAAGCAGGGGGACATGTCTGGCACTGCAGGATCTGAGTCCCTGGCTAGTGTGTTACTGATGGTAGCCTTTGTTACATTGGTCCCAGCTCTCTGCAGGTCATTCACTAGGTCCCCTGTGTGGTCCTGGGATTTTTGCTCACCGTTCTTGTGATCATTTTGACCCCACGGGGTGAGATCTTGTGTGGAGCCCCAGATCGAGGGAGATTATCAGTGGTCTTGTATGTCTTCCATTTTCTAATTATTGCTCCCACAGTTGATTTGTTCACACCAAGCTGCTTGCCTATTGCAGATTCAGTCTTCCCAGCCTGGTGCAGGTCTACAATTTTGTTTCTGGTGTCCTTCGACAGCTCTTTGGTCTTCACCATAGTGGAGTTTGGAGTGTGACTGTTTGAGGTTGTGGACAGGTGTCTTTTATACTGATAACAAGTTCAAACAGGTGCCATTGATACAGGTAATGAGTGCAGGGCAGAGGAGCCTCTTAAAGAAGAAGGTACAGGTCTGTGAGAGCCACAAATCTTGCCTGTTTGTAGGTGACCAAATACTTATTTTCCACCATAATTTGCAAATAAATTCTTTCCAGATCAGCCAATGTGATTGTCTGGATTTGTTTTCTCATTTTGTCTCTCATAGTTGAGGTTTCCCTATGATGCCAATTACAGGCCTCTCTCATCTTTGTAAGTGGGAGAGAACTTGCACAATTGGTGGCGGACTAAATACTTTTTTGCCCCACTGTACATGTAACTACATTTGGAAAGAATATTTTAAACATATATTTTTCTTTCCACATGGGTAGGACCGCTATAGAATAATTCGAAGGGGGAATAGCTACTGGTGTTGTTAAAAAATTATTCTTTTCATATGATTATACAATCTGACACGTTTCAGATGATTATACAAAAAAAAACACTTTTCAGGGTGAGCACCATCAGGGATAAAACCGCATTCACAATAGCATTACAAAACTCTTGTATCCCAAAGAAAAGGGAGGTGCCCACCTTGAAACATGTTGGGTTTTAATAATATAACATTTGATAATTTATATTGTGTGACTAAAATATATATATATCACAGTGGCTAAATGGATAGCACTTCTGCCTGGCAGTAGTAGGGTCGCTAGTTCAAATCCCAAGCACACCACCACCTGCCTGGAG